CCAAACACGTATGATGAAACATATAGAAGCATAAAACGGGGAAAACGGGGCGGTAAATCCCGTAACGACGGATCGGGTCGTTACATAAATCAATCCCAAATCCCAATTATAGTAAAAGTTGAAGTTCCATATCAAATTTGAATTACTTTATTTTGTTAGTTAATTAATCATTTATGTTGAATGTTAGTTTTGCGGGCTTGAACCTTATCCTTCTTTCTTTCTTTTTGTAAGCTGTTGAATTCTCTTGATGTTTTATTAATGAAGCAACTTTTAAGATGCTTAAAAAAATAGTATATCTGCAAGAGTGGATCTGTTTATTTTTCGACTGAATTTTTTTTATCATCTTATTAATAAAAACTGTGTATTTTATTTATCTCTTTTATGTCTTATTTGCTTGGTATACCAATTGCTATATCTTAGGTAGATTCTTCAGAAATTTATAATTATTATACATTCTTGCTTTATACTAACTTCAATTATTGTCAATTTTTACGCTGATTTTTGGTCAATATTGTTGTAGATGTTATTGGCGAAATTGTGAGTTATGGAGATGTACATTCTATCAAACAAGATGATAGAATTTGTATGTTCATGAATGTTGAGATACAGGATTATGAGTAAGCTACCCATAATTAATTAAACTAAATAAATATTTCAATAATTTGTTATTTCTATTCACGTGCTAACCTTATAATAATTGTTGGAGCAATAACATTTCTGCAACTCTTTTGTTACGATTACTGATGACGAGGATATTATAAACAAATACAATCCTTCTCCATGTGCAGAGACATTCAAAGTATGTTTCTCTACTGAAATATTTCTCAAACTTTGCTATTTGTGATTGAAGAAATTTTTAATTATGATATACATTTTTTATAGGATCGGGATTTCAATGATAACCAAGTCATTCATGAAGATAACGAAATCATGGTGATTTTACAACTCACCATTAACATTTCTTTATATTATTGATTCTTTTAATAAAATTATTTAATTTGCAGGTGTATACAACAATAAATAAAGCAATAGGAACTATAGTTTCGCTGCTGATTTTCACAACTTTTTGTATTTTAAATATGTAGGATTCTATTGAAGATACTGACTTTAACGATGTTGCAAATACACCTGCCAATACAACTTTTTGTATTTTAAATATATTATTATTGCAATATAAATTTTATCCTTGACCTTTGCGTGAGTGCATAAATATTGGTGGTCCGTAGCATAGATACAATCCTATGAAATTCATATATTTATTTTTTGGTTTAATTTTTTTTAAAGTGATCGCTAAATTCCGTCTGCAATATAGACATGTTTCTATAATATTATTTTTTTTCCCTTTGAAACTATCCGCGCATCGCGTGGGTACGTAGACTAGTTTGTACACTTATAGATACAATTTCTTTTTGTTGTGCTCTGTGCGAGAAATTTGTAGGTGGTTCAACTGATCCGCCATTTGAAAAGGAATGTCATGACAATATGCTCGGGGAAACAATTCAATAGTATGTCAGAGCTAATAGGAGTTGGGATTATGAAAATAAAGGAAACTAATTGGAATAATTGGAATTTTATCTTCTAATCTCTTTTTTCTATGAAAGAAAGAGGTGAAACTTTTATTAGGATTCCAGTTAAATTAGGTACGATTTTATCTCGTATGAGAATTGCAAGAAGGAAATTAATCTTATCATGAATATTATATTAAAAAATTTGTATAAATATTAGACATTTAATGTTAATTGATGAGTTTTCTTCACACAAACAAATATATAATTATGAGATTATGGTCCTTAAAAAGGCTAAAAAATGAGTCGTGTGCAATTGTTGTGCATTTTTTCCATCCGAATTCATCATTGTCGCGACCATCTATGTTTGTACAAATGCCATAACTAGGATAATATTCGCATAACTTAAAAACGTAGGATCGTCCTCGAGTGCAATAATCTCTTTTCTTTCATTTGCTAGTCTCCATCCACATTTCTCATCCCAACCTCCCTCAACCACCGGTGGTTGGAAGAAAACTTGAATTGTGTCGTTGTTCCGTCATCGAATTTATCTTCGCCAAAATAGCAGCAAAAAATGGCAGATATTTTTTTTTTGGTACATAAGAATTTTATTACCAAGTAGCAATATTTACAACTCATCTAAACTATTACAAAATTTGCCTAGCATATCACCTACTGGACATGAAGCCCCAGTAAGATGATATCTAACATTCACTTCTTCTATAACTCCATCAACTTCCACTATTGTGTTCTATTCTAACTAATTTCCGGATACCAATACAAAGTAGTTATCACCTTATCTAGATAAGGGAACCTTGCTGCCCTTATGTGCACTTCCTGGATAATATGATTGATTAAAGAAGTGGTTGTCCTTCTCTTCTTCTGAAAAATCACAAAATTCCTCTCTTGCCAACAATGATACACTGTTGCTGCTAGTGTCATTCTGCATATAGCTGCTCTTGCACTCTTGCCTTTAGTCACCTTCATCATCCATGTAACCTTTTCCTTCCAGTTGTGGTGTAATCTTTGAATCCCTTGCCATCTCAGCAGACCATTCCATATCTTCCCTATAGTCTCACACTTGAAGAATATATGCTGCATTGTCTCATTTTCCTTATTACACAGAGAGCATGTTTGATCTATATCTACCCCCATCTTGCCAGCCTATCTTTGGTAGCTAGCCGCTGTTGTATTGCTAGTCTCAATATGAATATCCACTTTGGCTGTCCTTGGTTATTGCACAATAGTTTCCTCCATGTTACTTTTTGAAATACACCTTGTAATGATCTGTATAGTCCCCTGATTGAGCATTTCTCCATTTGCTGGACATCATCTTCATTCACTCCAGCCTTTGTAAAATACTCCTTAGCCTGAAATATCTTCTGAATTGCCTAGGAAGCATTCTTTGGTTCTATACTCCACACTGCATGGCCTTTGACATAGTAAGTGTGTACCCAATGCACCCATAGCTTCTCATTCCTAGTATATATATTCCATAGCAATTTGCAAATAGCAGCTTCATTCCATAGTGCCACATCTATAAAGTCCAACCCCCCTGCAACCTTAGGTGAGCAAAGTCTTTCCCAAGCTATCAAGGCCTTCTTAGTTGGTTCAGCATCTCCTGTCCACAGAAACCTTCTACAAATGGTCTCTATGAACTGTATAACTTTCTTAGGAAGTATAAAGATCTGTGCCCAAAATGTTTGTATAGCAAACAGAACACTCTTCACTAGGACTGCTCTACCTGCATATAACAAATACTTTGTTGTCCAGTTCTGAATTCTGTGCAACATTTTCTCAATTAGTGGCTCACATTGTATAGCAGATAGTCTCTTAGTACTCAATGGAACCCCTAGATATCTGAAAGGCAATTCTCCCTTTTTATAACCAAGAATCTCCATAATTTGTTGCTGAGTCGACTGATTCACCCCTCCAAAATAGATGCAACTCTTATTTGGATTAGCTATCAGTCCTGAGGCTGCAGAGAATTTCTGGAAATGCCGATGCAGTATCTGCACAGATTGCACATCACCTCTACAAAATAATAATAAATCATCTGCAAACCCCAGTTGCACCAAGTTAAACCTGGCACACATGGGATGATATTTAAACTTCTTGTCTTCCTTCAGAGTCTTCAATGACCTGCTCAGGTATTCCGTAGCCAAAATAAATAAGAAAGGTGAAAGTGGATCACCCTACCTGAGCCCCTTCTTTGCCTCAAAAGGATATGTTGGTCTACCATATATTAGAACTGAATAAGTCACTGTACTGATGCAAGCCATTATCCATCTCACAAAGATTTCTGGAAAATTCAGTGACCTTAACACTTGTTCTATGTACATCAACTCCACAGAGTCATATGCTTTTTGCATGTCAATTTTAAGCATACATCTAGGGGAGATACTCTTCCTTCCATAACCTTTCACTAGTTCATGACTCATCAAAATGTTATCTGTGATCAGCCTTCCAGGTACAAAAGCAGCTTGACAATTATCCACCAGTCTATCCATCACCCCTTGCATTCTTGTAGTTATTACTTTAGAGATGAGCTTATATAAAACTGTACATCAAGAAATAGGTCTAAAGTCTCTTATGTTTGTTGAATTCTGGATTTTTGGAATCAGTGTGATTGTTGTGGAATTAATGTCTTTACACATATCTGCACTCTCAAAGAAATCTTGAACTGCTGCAGTTATTTCCTCTCCCACAATGTGCCATGTCTTCTTAAAGAAGTAGAAGTTATACCCATCACACCCTGGTGCCTTGTTATCATCAATGCCCAATAAAGCTTGCTTCACTTCTTCCCTGCTGACTGGTCTGATTAACAGTAGTTGTTGGCTCCTGTTCAACACATTGCCATTCTTCATTATGTCATAGTTGATCATTGGTAGCTGTGTAGCTGAACTACCAAGTAACCCCCTATAAAAATTTAGAATTTCTGCCTTCACCTCTTTAGGATTTTGCACTATATCCCCATTACTATCAATTAACCTGCCAATGTTGTTCCTTGTTTGTCTATTTTTCATACAAGCATGATAAAAAGTTGTATTAGAATCTCCCAAATTAAGCCACTGTACTCTGGACTTCTGCTTCATAATACTCTCCTCCACCATTAGCCATTTCTCCGGCTCAAATTTAGTAGTTCTTTCCAATTCAACCTGCATTTCTCCTTGGTCAGGACAACTCATTTGGTTTTGTATACTTTCTAATCTTTCTCTAGCATCCTATATCTTACTATCAATGCCACTGAACTCCTCTTTATTCATCTGCTTTAGTAACACTTTTAACTTCTTAAGTTTGTTCCACACTGTCAACATTGTTTGTCTGCTATTCCCAAGCTCCCAACCAATCTGCACTGTATCTTCAAAAGACTTCAAGTTTACCAGACAGTTCAAACACTTGAAAGGTTTCCCTCCAACTTGGCTACTTGTATCAAATTTCGCACTTAGAGGGCAATGATTAGAGAAACCAGGGTTCATAGACACCTCCTCCATATTAGGCCATCCATTTAGCATTTATCAGAATTCTATCAATCCTACTGTATACATGGTTATTAGTCCATGTGTATTGTCTTCCCACTGTCTTCAATTCATCTACTTTAGCATCCACTAAAAATTGTTTAAATTCCCTTGTCTCCATCTTCTGCACAGGACTACCATTGAATCTATCTTCACTGGTTAGAATTGTATTGAAGTCCTCCATTATAAGGCAAGGACTCCTTAAATTGACCACTGATATCAGCATCTCCTTCCATAGATTCTTCCTGTCTTGCACTGTATGCTTACCATAGACAGCACATAGGTGAAACTGAACATTCTGCTGCAATATTGTTACTTTTCCCAAAATAAATTGTTCATGATGTCTAGTCATTGTATAGTCCACCAATGTAGAATCCCATGCAACCCATATTCTACCCCCAGGAGCCTCATCATAGTTATCCACCCATTTACAGTTTTTCAGAGCCTTCCTTAACACAGATTCAACATTACTTTGCTTCACTCTATGCTCAATTATGGCTATCAATGCTACATTATTAATTCTGCAATTTTTTTAGTTCTTTTTGTTTGTACACCTTATTCAGACCCCTTACATTCCATGCAATAAAGTTCATCATGATATAATAGATAAAATTGGAGGTCCACCCCTATCTTCCTTGTTATGCATTTCTTTTGCACCTTGAGCTTCAGAAAGTTGAACAATTTTTTGATCAGTATCAACCAGAGCTTTGAAAGCGTTGCCAATATCCACTTCCTTCTCCCTTATCATATCTGTGTGCTTCTTAGTTGCAGGTCTTCCTCGAGCTATTTGCCATTGTGTTTCAACCTCTGAGTTACTATTTTGTATAGTTGCTTCTTCCTCCAATTGTTCATTAAATCTCCCTTGTGCATTAGTTTTGTCAACCTTAGGATCAAGTGCTCTAACTTTTCTCCATTCCTGCTTTTGCTTCCCTTCCACATTTTTCCTCACTTCATCCTGTCTTAGCTTCCTTTGATCCTTACATGTATGGCCAAGTTGACAGCATTTCTAGCAGTATAATGGTTTCCAGTCATAGTGTACTAATTCCAACACCTTTGGGAATTGATCAAAAGAAGAATCTACTTCAGTGTACTAATTCCAACACCTTTCCTTTTGGATCACATAGCTTAATCTTCTCTGGTAATGGCCTAGTAACGTCCATTTCTATTAAAATTCTTGCATATGAAATTCTCTCAGCAATCGTTGTACAAGCATCAACATATATTGGCTTCCCCAAACCACTTCCTATCTTACTTAACGCTCGATTACTCCAAAGGTTAAGTGGTAGATTTGGAAGCTTGATCCACAAGGGGATAGTCCTCACAACTTTTTCATTAAAATCAAAATTTTCCGACTATTGCCTCGTGATAACTGGCCTATTGTTAATTGTATAAGGACCATTCATCAGCACCCCCTCCTTCTCTTCATTAGTACTAAACAGGATTATGAAATATCCATCATTATGAAATAACACCTTAGGTTTCTACACACTTGCCCATTGATTAGTGATGAATCTTTCAATGGCTCCGATTGAAGGTGTATTCCCCACCACATACAATATTACTGCTCTAGTCCATTTTACATTTTCCTCTTCAATGTCTTCCTCCATCGCTGCACAACAACTTCACCATCCTTCATTGTCGGGGGTATATAGGTGAGATTCATACCTTTTGCAGCTAACTTGTTCTCCTGGAGTAATCCCGCCCATGATCGACCCTTATCAACTGTTGGAATGGAGTTCTTCACTTGAGCTTCCTTTTGATTATCCACAGAAATAGCCCTCTGTTCCTTGCTTGAGCTTGCATGTACTGTTCCATTGGATTTTGCCTCACTCGAGCTGGGTTTCTCACTTACAACCCTCATTTCGCTATTTCCTTTGCTCATGTTCTCCGTCAGTGCCAATTTCCTGCTAGAATTCACTGGTGTTGTTGCTTGATTTCGATATTTGTCCAGATATGGCCAGTTATCGTCACTATCATTTTCCTGCTCTATCTCTTCCTCCTGCATTTGATCCTTGGCTTTGGCCTTACCTTTCCCTTGTTCACTCGATCTAGTCATCATAATCTTTTGAGTCTAGTACTGGCTTTTTGGTGGTATTCTTCCTCGGCTGTCTTCTTCCTCCCATTTCCGATGAAGGCGCAGGTTAGTCGGTCACCTAACGTGCACCGAGAGAAACTTAAGCGTATTTAGTTTGAAGTGTTAGGAAATTAAAAACCTACCTGGCAGATATTTACAATGATATTTGAGTGGCTTCTACTGTGTCAAAACCATGGATTTCTATTAAATTTTACTCGAAACTCCAAAATTAAATTTTTTTGTTCTGGTATAATCATGAACATAATGGTGTTGTGAATTTGATTTAGAAATAAGAGAGAGAAAGAACAATGAAGAAAAATAAAAAGTTTAAGAAAGAAGAAGAGTAAGGAAAAGGGAGGGAGGTTGGTGAACAGAGAAGAAGGGGATGGGTGGGTACGGGCTACTAGGGTAGTAGAGAAGTGTTAGGTGGTTTTCTTCTTTTTCTCTTTTCCATTTATAACTTTTTTTTGCTGATTTAGTACTTAAAAATGGACCCACAAATATTACATGTAAAGTAATAAATAGTCTAGCATATGACGTGTTGTACATATCAGCACAATTGATATACACGTTTTGCTGAATATATTTATTGGTCAAGTTGGAGTGTTCAAATGAAAAATATGTAAGTTTATGTGGTTTGCAAACTGATACAAGCTTAAGTAGCCACGAGGCCATTTGGCCTAATTTTTATGCAGCTCTAGACAGTTCGTAGACATCCACCATCCTGGAAGGAAATTCCTTATTGAAGATATTATCAACTCCACTTTCTAATATGATATATTATTGAGTTCTCATTGACTTTAAGGGATGAAATGGTCTCCTTTCTTGGGTAATTCTCATCTTATGAGCTAGTTTTTGGAGTTGAATTAGACCAATTATCATGGTATTATAGTTATGCCCATCCCAATTTATTATTTTCGCGATGTTGGATCCCAATCTTATATTGTCCATGCTTCAGATGTCCAGTCTTAGGCATGAGGGGTGTTGAGTCCCATATCGACACTATAGTGACGGAATGGTTTTCTTATATGGTCTTGAGCAATTATCACCTCATGAGTTGGCTTTTGAGATTGAGTTAAATAATATCTATTTCTTTATCATCTATTTTTGTTTTCATCCACAGACTCTCACTATTGAGAATTCTCCTTTAAATTAATATAACTAGTTCTTTGACTTTAAGATTATTCATTACTAATTATAACAAGGGGTTGAGTTATTCTTGTTCAAGAAGAGTTATTTGACACCCTTGTTGGAGAATTATACGATATAGACATGTCAATTTTTTGGAAAAGAGCCAAATATGCCTCTGACGCTTTTTTTGGCTTTTGTTGTTGATATATCCTTGTTTCTATTCTTCCTCTCAAGCCGAGGGTCTTTCGGAAACAGCCTCTCGATCTCTCTAAGGTAGGGGTAAGGTATGCATACACATTATCCTTCCTAGATCCCACTTGTGAGATTTCCTCGAGTTTGCTATTGTTGCTGGTCAAATATGCCTTTGAATTATGCGAAATTGTTCAAATTTCTCGATCGTTAATAGTTGAGATAAAATACACCCTTATAGTTGCCGAGTGAGTTCAAATATACCCTTATTGATTAGTGTTCATCATTAAAAATTGATTACTATTTTTTAGAAGGCCAATTAACACCGGCAAATGTCACGTGTTGGCTTAAAAAGGAGAAGGTTGCAATAAGTTGGGCCTAATTATTTTTAAAATAGTCAGATTTACAACTGATCGTTCAAAAATAGCCTAATTTCAAAAGTAATCGAAATTTAGCCACTTTTTATGTAAAGATAAATCTGAGCGAAAACACTGTTCAAAACCCGGAAATACTCCAGTATATTATGCTGGAGTTCCAGCATAAGTATACTTGAAGTCCAGCATATTATACTGGAGTTCCAGGATAGTATGCTGGAACTCCAGCATAATATGATGGAGTTCCAGCATAAATGCACTAGAACTCCAGCATAATATACTGGAGTTCCAGCAAGTATAATGGTCCAGTATAATATACTTGAGTTTGTAGCACCAGTGCTCCAGTCTCCAGTATATTATAGTGGAGCCAGCAAAGTATACCGGTCCAGCATAATATGCTGGAGTTCATACACAAGTGCACTGAACTCCAGTATATTATGCTGGACCGGTCTCTATTGCAGCAAAACGGTGGCTATTTTTCATTGACTTGGTAAACGCTGGCTATTTTTGATTGACCAGTCCGAAAAGTGGCTATACCGTTGGAATTTTGGCTTGGAGTAGGTCAACTTAAATCAAATTCAACCCAAAGCCCAAATAATTCAACCCAAACCCATCTTCACAAATCACACACACTTTTCCCCCAAATTCACTCACCATTTCAGTCTAATCCCTACACTGCAAACATCAGTTCACACACAGAAGAAGATTTCAATCTGAGAAAAAATGGGGAGGAAAAAGGGAGTAGAGTTCGATGAAGGAGCACCCGATGACTTCGACCCGAATAACCCGTACAAGGACCCGGTAGCTTTCTTCGAGATGAGGGAGCATTTGGTGAGGGAGAAGTGGATCGACATTGAAAAGGCTAAGATCCTCCGTGAAAAGCTCCGTTGGTGCTACCGCATCGAAGGTGTTAATCACCTTCAGAAGTGTCGTCACCTTGTTCAGCAGTACCTTGATGCTACACGTGGCATTGGATGGGGCAAGGACCTTCGTCCTCCCTTTATGCACGGTCTCTACTTTACGCCCTAACACGATTTACTACTATTTTTAGATTAAAAGTTTAGTTTTTAATTTGTATTGACTTGTGAATTGCAGGCCCGAAGGTTGTTGAAGCTGTCGAGTCCGAATGAGACCCTTTTCGTAGGTTTGTAATCTCAGGCATTTTACTCTTTCCCTTTTATTAGATTGGATCATTGGAAATGGTTTTTTGTCTTTGATTCGCTGATGTTGTCTATTATTTACAATTTATATGACACAGTTAGTATTTTTGGACACTAAAAATGTTGAAATTTTGTTAATAAGACGTCCTCCTATAAAATACTCCTTCCGTCCCAATTTATTTTGGGGTGTTTGACCTGAGAGTTTTAAGAAAGAAAGAAAGACATTTTATGAGAAGGTAAAAGTTAAAAGTTAAATGAGAAGTTACAACAACAACAAACCTACTGAAATACACAAGCGGGGGGTCTGGGGAGGGTAATATGTACGCAGTCCTTACCCCTACCCTGAGAAAGTAGAGAGGTTGTTTTTGGTAGGCCCTCCGCTCAGAAGAGATTAAATGAGAAGTTAAAAGTTAATTTTTTTTAGATATTGAAAGGTGCCATTTTTTTTTTGGATAGACTAAAAAGGAAAGGTGTAACATAAATTGGGACACCGGGAGTATAAAAGAAATTGCAAAATAGCTCCCGCAGAGGAATGTTGGGCTTACCAGAGAGTTGTGTGCTACTTGCTCACCGCTCAGCCTTGCTGTGTATTGCTGAATCTGAAATCCTGAAATATGAAGAAATATGAGGTATGAGTCCAATGAAGAATAATGCCATCTATAACTGTTGGGACAAGAAGACTTAAAGCATGATATGTACTATGCTTTAAACTCATAGCTGGTATGAGTGCTACTGGAGGGCATATCTCATAAGTAAGTCTGCTTTCATTTTTATCTGAACACTGAAGTGCAACAGATACTAGGGAGGATCACTTTACTAGTGTCTGACACTACTCGCGCTGTGGATGCTGGCACAATAATTTGATTCCAATCCTAACAGTTAGGTATCTATTTGCCCAGTTTGTACATTACGAGAGTCTGAATCCATCTTCTTCCAGCGTCAGCTAGGAGTTTTGCCACAATCTGAATCTGTAGCTACACACACCATATTTGTGTTTGTTTGTTATGTCAACCCTTTTAGGGTATTGTCAGTGTTGTCAAAGGTTAAAAGCGTTAAAATGCGCACCAAGTCTATCAGGTGTTAAGCGCAAAGCACGATCAAAGTGAGAGCTTTAGTTAAAAAAGGCGCAAAAGAAATGTTACATATTTTTGTTTGATGAAGTTAGTGGTGTAAATAACAAAAGCATCTAGTAGATGCATGTATTACAAAATAAAAAAAGATATCAGCTCCTA